AAAAAAAAAAAAAAAAAAAAGTTGGGGCTGGTGAGATGGCTCAGTGGTCTAAAGCACCTACTTAGAACAAGTTTAGCAAAGCAAAGCAACTGCCAGAGGCCCCAGCTGTCACAGGTCAAAGTAGTCCAGGAATCTGGCCAGAATTCTGTTTTTTGTTTTTTGTACTAATGACTGAACTTAGGCCCTTTCACTTGCCAGGTAGGCACTTAAGCCGGTGAGCTATCTCCCCAGCTCCTTGGCCAGAATGTTTTAATTCCCACTGGTACTTACTTTAAAAAAAAAAAAAATGTATTTGGTATAGGGTCTGTAGGGTCTCACTGTGCAGCTTGGCCTTGTAGTGGTCCTTCCTATTTTTCAGCCTTCCAAGCCTGGGATTTCCAGCTTGCACCATCATGCCCAGTCTCAATCGCGGTCTCAGCATGCCCGGGGGGCAAGGCCACCAAGGCACAGCTGGGATAAACCCCTAGCCCCTGCATCTGCCTAAGCAGGTGCTTTAATCTACTGAGCCATCTGGCTGTCTCTTTGACAAAGGTAATTTTACATGGCATGTGAATGACCTCTCATGTGATTCCAAAGCTTTTTTTGTTTTTTATTTTTCATTTATATATTTAGTACAGGGTCTCACTACACAGCTCGGACTCATACTGATCCCGTTTTCAGCATCCCCAGGGCTGAGATTACAGGTATATGCCACCATGCCCAGACTTGGTTACCAGCTGAGTGTACTCCAAAGAGTGGGGCCGGCACATGGTGGGGGGTGTTGAACCCTGGTCCCTGAGAACTGACTCTTTTTTTTTAAAAATGTAAATCATTATGCTGTGGTACTACCTGCCTCATGGCAGCTAAACTGATAGAAACACCATGCTCTTAAACATCCAAAAAGGAGATTTGTAAGTTAGCACCGTAATTTTTTTTTTGCGGAATTGGGTTGAACTGAGACCCTTACGCTTGCCAGGGAAGCGCTTACTCTACAGAGCCATCTCCCCAGCCCCACGTAATTGGACTTTAAGAAAAAAAAAAAATCTCTCATAAAGAATGTATTCAGGGGCTAGAGAGGTAGCTTAGGAGCATAAGCACCTGCCTGGCAAGCACAAGGACCAGAATTTGATCCCTGGCTCCACATGCCTTGTGGTATTGGCCCTGGATGCCCAGGTGCCCACCGTGCAGCCCCAGAACTGGGCATGGTGGTGCATGCCTGTAATCCCAGCACTCAGGAGGTTAAGCCAGGAAGATCTCTGTGAGTTTGAGACCAGCCTGGGGCTACGAAAGTTCTAACAAGGCCAGCCTGAACTGCATAATGAGACCCTGTCTGAAAAAAAGAAAGAATGAGATTTCAGGTTTAATCAGTTTTCATGCAGAGCGTCTTGAGCTGGAAACGTGGAACCATGAAGTCAAAGCAGCTTGTGTGGCCAGCTCATGCACAAGGACACATGCCTAAGGGTCACCAGGAGTCCAGGAGAATAAAAGAAACTTATCTTTTTTTTAATTTTTATTTTTTTAAAAGTCCAGCCGGGGAGATGGCTCAGTGGAATAAGC